CGCCCGCCCGCCTCGGCGCCCAAGGCCGGCAGGAGCTCCTGGCCCCAGAGAAGGCGGCCAAGAAAGCCGCCCGGGGGCGCCTCCCCTCACCGTGATCCGAGGGACGGTCTTCTTCCCCGGGTAGGAGGACATCTTCCCCTCGAGGCCTGCAGTGCGGGAAGGGGCGAAGCGGGGGCGAAGCGGCCTTGCGGAGCGAGAGGAGAAGCGGCGGCGGCGATGGGCGCGTGGCGGGGGGCGTTTGCGCGCGCGGCTCCCTCCCCGCCGGGCGGATTGTTCTGGCGAGGGGAGGAGGGGGAGGGGGGGGAAGCGGCGACGCGGCGGCTCGAGCTGCTCCGCCGCCCCGCAGCCTCTCCGAGCAGCTGCCTGATTAGCCTGCCGCCTCCGCGCCTCCCCCCTCCCCTCTCTAGACGGGCGGGCCGCTCCGCTTGTGGGGCCTCCCTCTGGGCAGACCCCGCAGATGCGGCCCCTTCCCTGGGCAACAAAGGTTCTGGGCCGCCCTCGCTTGGCAACAAAGGACACGTGGCCGAGGCCGCTGGAGGTTGCTGGCTCGGTGGCGAGGAGGCCCCGGTGCCCCGGGATCTCGGGGGCGCCCTGGCTCGGTTGGACATGGAAGAGTCCCGCTTTTGGGACGGGGTGCTTCCCCCCCTCCTCCTCCGCCCTATTTCAGGTCTGAATGTCAGACTTTGTCCTGGCAGCCAGATTTCCCCTTGGGAGGCGCATCTCCTGGATTTGGTGGGAATTCTGCTGCTTGCGCCCCTTTGTGGGAAGCGCTCCCCGCTTTCTTTCGGGACATTTGTTTGCCTAGGAATGGCTCTTTTAAAACAGTCCTTATTTTCAATTTAAAATAGAGCGAGGTGCAAGGAGCCGCGCGATTATGGAAAGCGACCTTCCGCTTGATTTCTCCCGAGGTGTTCGCCCTCCAGGAATGGATCCTTTTAAGACAACACTTTAAAAGAGAGCGAAGTGCCAGGGACAATCTATTAGCCGAGTCCCCCTTTTCCCTTCCTGAGCATTAGCAACAACCTCCCGCGAAGGTCTGGGAAGGTCCTCTCCCCCCCTCCCCGGACACGTGTTCTTTGTTGTCAAGCCAGGCCGCCTCTGTTCACTTGTTCCCGAGATCCTATTCCAGTATCGATCTGATTGGGGATCAGGTTTAGCCAAGAGACTCTATTCCAGCAAGAAGGAAGGTTTCGATTTATAGGGGAACGCGTTCATTTCAGATCCGGTGGAGTATCGATCGCTGAATATGCGGGGAAAGTCATTTTCTCTAATTCCTCCTCCACGGACGGACCACCAACGTCCTCTTTTCCAAACGCCAGCGGACACGCGCACAGATAGGCTGCCTCTTTCTATTTCCAATCGGGTGAATCCTGATCCCATCATGAATGTAGGCGACCTCGCAGAATCTGTATTTCTACAGATCAGAATCGTGGTTGCTTTTTGAACCCATTGTTTTCGGAATCCCAAGTGGAAATTCTCCAAACTCTTCTCCTCGTCCTCCTCCTCTCCACCCTGCCCTGCGTCCCGTCCTTTATTAACAGCCATAAATCAGGAATGACAGAAAGGTTTCTTGGCTCCCCTTACTGCGCCCCCTCCCACCTTCGCCCAAGTTTTCTTTGCGTTCCAGGAGCCATTGAAAAGCAAATAAAATTTTTTTAAATGGGGGGGGGTGTGATTTTTGTGTCTGATCACAGCTTATCTTTGTCGAATGCTTCAGATAAAACATCCTTGCGTGGCCTATTTTCACTTGGGTCGTGTTAATCTGGGCAATTTTTGTGCCGGTGGGGGTTTAGGGACTTTGAGAAACATAACCCGCTTGGTTAATTGAGGCTTGGACGGACTTGCACAAAGCCAGAAAGCGGGCTAATTCAGAGGGCCACTTAAAGGCGAGGCTAAAGCCGAAGGCGGGCGCGCATTGCGCCTATTCTCTTCCCGTTTAAAACTACCCGCTGTCAGTAAGTGGCGGCGCTACTTAGTGTAGTTTGTGTAATGAAACGTCTGCAAAAAAGCAGGTTCGGAGAGCACCAAGGACTCCTTCCCTGTCGGCTTTGGTGGGAATAAATGCGACGGCTCAACCGCAACTTTATAAACGCCACCTTACACTGCAGCCATTCGCTTCTCCCCTAGAAAGAAATCCCTCCGGTAGCAATACGGTTTCCTATTCCCCCACCCACCCCCGAGCAGCCTCGGATTCACGCCAGCATCAACCAATCAGCCTTCAGCGCCCATTGACTTCCAAAGACAGAAGCCGCAGCGATTGGATGGCTGAGCGGAGAGGGCTGGGGGAGGGGACGAGAGCCTACCCGTTCATTTAAATGCAAATTCTACTCCAGAAAGGTTAAGGAGTCGAAATTCGCTCCTCTCCTCGGTATTTGCCTTGCAAAACTAACACGTGGCCGATTTCTGGTCCTTCTGCGGGGCTGTAGGTGAAAGCCCCCCAAAGCCCCATCAGCAGGAGCGAGGGGGTTGCGAGGGTAAAGCCACGCGCCCCGGCCCTTGAAAGAGGGGTAGCGGCGTGGCTGCTAAATCAACCATCACCCCGCTTCTGCCCTGTTTTTCTAGGTTGCTCCCACTGCAACGGCAGAGTGAAAGGAAAAGATGCGGCTTTAGTTCGAAGCCCCCCTCGGATATAAGAAATGGGGCTGAAAGATTGTGGCTGTTCAATAGCGGGGAGGACCTGCCTTCCTTCTAGCCCGGGCCGGTGCCTACTTCGCGGACAAACGCATACCTGCCTGCCTGCAAAATGCAACCTCGGTTTAAACGATGGGACCGGGTGTTTTTTTGTTTAACATTTATGGACATGTTTCGAATGTTCTCATTTATTTTCATTTCATTTATTAAAATTTATAGGCCGCCCTTTTCCCTGAGGGGACTCAGGGCGGCTTACAATCACAAGG